CTGACATTCATGGTCTGTCACAATTTAATGGCCATTAATGATTGGGTGCTTATGGTGCGCCATGCATTATACAGAGAGCCTAATATGGATTATCTCATTTCATTTACAATAACCCTAAGAGATCAGCCTTTTTATTATCCCATTTTATAGATGAGAAAACCAAAGTTCAAAGAGAGTAAGCTGCTTTTTCCCAAGTTACATTGATATAAAGTGGTAGAGCTGGGATTTAAACCCAAGCATTCTGGGTTGGCACAAATGGTTTGTGCTGGACTACTAACCTAAGGGTTGGCAGTTGAAACCCCCCAGCAATACCACAGAAGAAAGGTCTGGAAATCTGTTTCCATAAAGATTATAGCCAAGAAAGCCCTATTGAGTAGTTCTACTCTGTAACAGATGGGGCCGCCATGCATTGGAATCGACTCACTGGCAATGGGTTTTTTAATTATTATTATTATTCTGATATCACAGCCTACAAACTTTACCACAAAATTACTCAATTTCCCACAAGCCACTCCCATCTACTCTGCAACCAAGACACCACCATGCCCCAGGAAGACACACTGACTCAGCCCCATAGCACACTTCATGCCTTCAGAGATTCCACTTTCATTCTATCCTCTGTTGGCTCAGCCTTTCTTTGGCATGGTCTTCACCCTCCACTCTGCCATCCAAACCTACCCATCAAAGCTTAATTCAAATGCCAGCTTCTCCCAGCCATTCCATCCCATATAGATAATCCTGTTCCCTGAATTCATTTTAAAAATGCCATCTGTTCCATTCATCTGTGATCATCATTTTTTAAATGCGTATATCATTCGTTCATTCAATGATATCCACAAAGATTGTCCTGAATTTTCAGCTACCAGAGAACAGGAACCATGTCTTCTATTTCTTTTATATCTCCCATTATTTATCATGATACAAAATTTATAAATGAAATGATACAGTTCTGTACTGTGGGTATGAGAACTATATCACATGACTTTATAGCCACATCTTGTATTTCTTAACTAAAATGTTATCCTCATTTATTTCCCAAGCATTTGACCCACTCTTCCCTAGAATGAATTGCCCTTTAAAAGTCTTCCTCTTAAGATCGTAACATTTCATCTTGCACTTTTGCCATACTAAGACATTAACAACTGTGTATGTACGCGTGTGCAGGTGGGTGCATGAATGAGTGTACTGACGAAGCAAGGTACATGGAATAATAACAGCCCATTGCACCTTGCATTAAGCTATCACCCAGCATGGTGTTACTTGCATGCTAATCAGCAAACATCTGAGAAGTGAGCAACTTTCTCAGGCCAATGCTCAACTTCGTGTGTTGACAACCTGGAACAGAGGACTTTAATTGCAGTCATAAGGTAATGTCTACCCCCAATTCCCTTTGGACTGCTTATTTGTAGTCTGGAATTGCTAAACAGGTTCTGCAAGTTTTTCTCGTCCATTTGCTCTGCTTGAAGCAAGAAGGGAGAATCCCAGCTTCACTCAGCTGTAAATAGTTAACTCCTAAGGTCAAACTAGAGAGACTGCACAGTGGTGAGGGTGAGGGTGAGGCAGACAGCTCTCTGGATTTAACAAATGAGGGAAATGTATCACATGTATACTGTTCGGCAAGCCTGGGCAGAGGAAAAAGTGAATAGAAAACATTATTGGGGAGAATTGTGCTCAAACTTGATCGCTTACAAATATGAAGGTTGGGTGTTTTTTCGTTTTGGTTTTGTTTTTTCTATTGTGGTACGTATGTGTATAACAAAACGTACCATTTCAACATTTTTTATGTGTACAATTCAGTGACATTAATTACGTTCATCGTGTTGCACAATTTTTTAAAAATAAACTTCTGGCATTTGCTTTACCCCACTGCCAATATCCCAAAAGTTTTTCTATGGTGATGTAAACATTATTTGAGGTTTCAAAGAGCATAAGAACAGCCTAGATACCAGGATATTAAAAAAGGATGGCTAAGTTACTCAATGAGCTAGCCAGCCCCAACTTGTCTTGAAATTAACACGTGAAACTAAGCTTCAAATGCACAGGTTCAAAAGCACTCAATTCACATACATATGCTGGGCACTAGCTTTGCACCGGGCCTGAGGGGACATAGCACTGAAGCAATCCCAGACTGTATTCTCCAGGAGCTTACCGTCTGCGGAGAATGATACAGAGGTACAGAGCACATCATAACACAATGTTGTTGTTGTGTACCGTCAAATCAATTCCAACTCACAGTGACCATATAGGACAGGGTAGAACTGCCCCATAGGGTTTCCAAGGTTATAATCTTAATGGAAGCAGACTGCCACACCTTTCTCCCGAGGATCAGCTGTTTGGTTCAAACCGCCGACCTTTCTATTAGCAGCTGAGTGCTTAACCACTGCAACACCAGGACTCCTTATAACCCAATAAAACAAAAACAAAAACGAAACCCATTGCCATCAAGTCAATTCCAACTCACAGCAACCCTATAGAACTGAGTAGAACCGCCCCATAGGGTTTCCAAGGAGCAGCTGGTGGATTCAAACTGCCAACCTTTTGGTTAACTCTTAACCACTGTGCCACCAGGGCTCCTATAACGCAATAAACCAAAACCAACCAAACTCTTTGCCCTTGAGTCAATTCCAACTCATAGTGACCCTAAAGGACAGAGTAGAACTGCCCCATAGGGTTTCCAAGGAGAACCTGGTAGATTTGAACTGCTGACCTTTATGGTTAGCAGCCATAGCTCTTAACCACTATACCACCAGGGTTTCCTATAACAATAAAAACCAAAAACCAAACCCAAACCTGTTAGAACTGGGAAAAACACAGAAGGCAAGGATGAGAAAACCCTCTTTTCAGCTCTTTGATTTTATGAAAGCTGCTCATCGATTGTGGGTTTTGGGTTTTTTTGTTTTGTAGGTAATGATACCTGAACTTCAGGCCCATTTTTCCCTTTTCCCAGCCATGAGATCTAGGTGATGAGTACATCACCACTTGGGCCTTGGTTTTCAACTCTGTGAAATTAAAATGTTGGTGTAGATCAGGGGTTGGCAAATTACAACCCGAGGGCCAAATGGAGCTTGATGCCTGTTTTGTAAACAAAGTTTTATTGGAACTCATCCACACCCATTCATTTCCATCTTGTCTATGGCTGCTTTCGTGCTACAGTGGTAGAGTAGTTGTGACATACAGCCCACAAAGCCAAAAACATGTACTATCTGACCCTTTACAGGAAATGTTTGCTGATCCCTCGTGTAGACAATATCTAAGGTCTCTTCTAGAGGCTTGCAAGATTGTTTTTAGACATATGAAAGCACTTTGAAAGATGCAAATAACCCTCCAAATGGAAGAAATGATCAAAAGGTGAATGTTGGTTCCAGGAAGTTAGCAGTTCTGCATGTTCATCAGCTGCAAACATTTATTCCAATGGGTCTCAACTCTGCATTCATGTTAGAATCACCTAAGGGTTTGCTGGCACAGTGGTTAAGAGCTCGGCTGCTAACCTAAAGGTTGGCAGTTCAAATCCACCAGCCGCTCCTTGGAAACCCTATCCAGCAGTTCTACTCTGTTTTATAGGGTTGCTATGAGTTGCTATGAGTCAGAATCTACACGGCAGAAGGGGTTTGGTTTGGTTTTATTAAGGATTTTTTAAAATATCAGTGCCCAGGTCCACATGTCTAGAGTTTCTGATTTTATTGGTACGGGGTGGGGACTTGGTATCAGTATTTTTTAAAAGCTCTCCAAAGAATTCTAACGCACACTCAGGGTTAAGAATTCTATTTATTGAAGGCCTATGATTGACTTTGAAATTATAATAAGGCATAAGTCATAGCTCTTCGAGTAGTTTTAGATCAGATTTGATAAGCTGTACACATAAAACTATTAAAAATATATACATGTATCCGTGGAGCTCTGGTGGCACAGTGGTTAAGTGTTTGGCTGCTAACTAAAAGGTCGGCAGTTAAAATCCACCAGCCACTCCTTAGAAACCCTACAGGGCAGTTCTACTCTGCCTTATAGGGTCACTATGAGTCAGAATTGACTCGACAGCAACGAGTTTGTTTTTTTTTCTGTTGTTGTTTTTTATATATATCCACATTGCTATGTATCAAATAAGGAACCCTAGTGGTGCAATGGTTAAGTGCTCAGCTGCTAACCAAAAGGTTGGCGGTTTGAACCCACCCAGAGACTCTGCAGGAGAAAGGCCTGGCGACCTACTCTCATAAAGATTACAGCCTAGAAAACCCTATAGGGCAGTTCTACTCTGTCACATGGGGTCAGTATGAGTCAGAATCAACTCGACGGCACATAACAACAACAACACGTATCAAATAAGCAGTATAAATGAGTAGTCCCCAAACTTGGATCTGCAGACGGTAGCAGAGCTGGCTACAAGAATCATCTGGAGAAATTATTAAATATACAGGTTTGGGAACCCCCTCCCCAGAGATTCTGATTTGATATATCTGGGGAGAGGTCTGGGCATTTTTTTTTTTTTCTGTTTTTTTTTTTTTAATGTTACCATGGTGATTCCATTGAGTAGCCAGGTTTGGGAAAGACACTCTGGACAAACTGCTGTAGAGATTCAGCATTAGACAGAGAACTCCTAAAGTCAGGGCATCCATTTATCTTTGAATCCCCATGGTCTGGCCCAGCACCGGGAACTTAGTGAGTATTTGGTAAATGTTTAATAAATAGAGCTAATTTAGCGACTGACTGGTGACTGGTTTGGTGTACAGAGACACATACAGGAGAACATAGGATTTAAGCTTGATCTTGAAAGAGATAAGACTAAGACTCAGGTTCTACGTATTAAACATCCCTCAGCTGCAAACTTCCCCCACCTACCCCACACTCATAACTTGACTACCAGCCTGACCAAAAAAATCATTTTGGAGTCACCCAGGTACTAATCCTCGCTTAGTTAGACTGAAGTCCACATGATTGCTTAAAGCTTTTTTCTGGGCATAGATCATTTATGCCAACTGGGCAGGCTTATTGCCCCATGAACTTACCTTCTTTCATTGGCTTTGGCTGTTGACATTTGTGGTGATTAGTTAAGGTTGAGCTGAGGGTGCTTTGACAGTCTATGAGGAAGAGTACTGAACGTAAATAAACATTGCATCTCATTACAAAGTCCTGAATATGCAAAACATACTCGTCCAAATGCCATGATTAGATAAGCACCTGCAATGCCCATTCTCTTCAAAGGGAAATTTCAGCCAAAATTAGGCCCATTCGATAACTGTCCTTACACTTAAGCAAGTCATATGACCTCTATTTTCATATTAAGTTAATTTCTGAAGCAAACTACCTGATAGCTATTGTTTCAGATGCTTAATAATTACCTCAGGGTGGCCTGCCACATGCTGTGAAATACTCCTCACCCAAAATTTCTAGAGTTTCCGATGAGCCTTCAGCCACACCCTGAACAGGTCCTTTATAAAGACAGGTCATTTTAAACAGCTCTCAAGGACAGCTTCACCCTCCCCCACAAAAGAGAACAAGGTGTGATGCTGACCCGCCCACACACACACATAAAAATGCACACATTTTGTGTGAGGGCAAATAGAGATGCTTACTCAGGTGGCCAGAATATAAACCAAGGTTGACATTGGAGGATGAAGCTGATGGAAAAGGAATCTCTAAAGTAGAAATGACCAAAGGCCTCTATGCCTAAATCTTCTGAAAAATCACCATTGAAAACTCTATGGACCACAGTTCTACTCTGACACACATGGCGTAGCCATGAGTCGGAATCAACCCAAGACAAGTAGTTACATTGATCTACTATGCCAAAGTAGATCCTAAGGATATGAGTCATTCAATCAGATGGCCTCATCTGGTCAGAGTGCTACTTAGACATACATGTAGGAAATTATTGGCTACATGGAACGGGTTCGAGGCCTGGAAAGACCGCTCTGTTCAAACGTCTTTAACACTCAAGTGTTAGAGTCTAGAATCCCATCATGAGATTCCAATTCCTTTGTATGCCTGTACTGGAAAAGAGGACTATACCACAGAAAGGAGCATGTGCTGGAAGACTGAGTGAGCAGAGAGACTGTTGAATGAAAGGGGCCCCACTGGGGACCAAAAGCCTCTCCAGCAAGCCATGTTTCAGATGATAGAGAAAATTAAAATAAATGACCTCCTGGGTAAAATGAACCGAGCACTCCTTCTCTTCCCAACAATATCAGAATTTGTCGACATGGTTTGAGAGCTGAGTACCAATGACTACAGGGCCCATCATTTATCAAAAGCAGCAACTGCAGCAGAATGTAGCACAAGCCCCTAAGAGTCATTGTTGTTGTTAGTTGTTCTTAGTTGCTCATAGTGATGCCATGTGCACAAAGTAGAACTGCTCCATAGGGTTTGGGTTTTCAAGGCTGTGAACTTTCAGAGGCAGATCACCAGGAATGTCTTCCGAGGTGCCTCTGGGTGGGTTTGAGCCATCAACCTTTTGGCTAGTAGTCTAGTGCTTAACTGTTTATGCCACCCAAGCCACTAGGAGAAGGTCAAGTAAAACAGATATGGCAATTCCACTGGGAAGGATTAGAAAGGATTTTTTTTTCCTCACTTTTCCGAGACTAAGAATATTATGTGTATGAAAGGAAGGACTGAGAATCCTTGCTGAGGATTCATTCTACGCAGAACATGAAGAGGACTTAAATCAGCATGTTCGCTGTCAGACCCTTCCTCCTAGTCTCTCCTAGTCTGGAAGCTCTGCTGAAACCTGCCCACCATGGGTGACCCTGCTGGTATTTGAAATACTGGTGGTATAGCTTCCAGCATCCTAGCAACACGCAAGCCACCACAGTACAACCAACAAATGTGGCATATTTGTAAAGGAGCTTACAGATTAGAGGGGGACTCAGAAAATGAACAAAACAGACCTGTTTCTTTCTTTTTATAAGTTATAGGGGTGGAGTCGGGGGCGTGGAGAATGCTATAAGAACATAGGACAGAAACTAACCTACTGCTAGGGTTTCAAGAACCCTGGTGGTGCAATTGTTAGCACGCAGCTGCTAACCAAAAGGTTGGCAGTTTGAACCCACCCTGCAGCTTCATGGGAGAAGGACCTGGTGATCTGCTTCCCTAAAGATTACAGCCAAGAAAACCCTATGGGGAAGTTATGCTCTGTCACACGGGTTTGCTATGAGTTGAAGTCAACTCAAGGACACCTAACAACAACATGGTTTCAGGAAATCTTGTTCTGAGTTGGTGACTTTTGAAATGAGACATGAAGACTCAGAAGAAATCTGTCATGAAAAATGTAGGGAGAGGGGGTAAGGGAGAAGAAAGTTTCAAGAAGAAAGAGGGTATTTGTTCTCCAGAGACTTTGGTAAGGATGAGAACTGAGAAAACTTAACAGGCCTTTAGGCTGCCTCCAGCGACCTCTGAGGGAGTAGTGTCTATTGAGGGGAGTAGGTGTGAAGCTGACTGGAGGATATTAAGCGGAGAGTTTGTGGTAGGAAGTGGGCACAGTAGCTGCGGACGATTTGTTTTTAGCTGGAGTGGAAGATGAGCTTGGTTTTGCTGTTTCAGGCCATTGCTATATGCGACTTTCAGTTTCCATTTGAGCCCCAAGCCTGGGCTAGGTACATTCCAGATACGTAGAAATCACTACCATAGAGTGATTCATCTCCAACTGGCTCACTACTAAATTCCCTACAGTCCCTATTTGACACATTTTCCTCAGGCCTCCACCTCCCACCCACTCCTGTTTCTCCAAGATGACTTTGTTTCTTTCTTCACTGAGATTGAGGCTGTCAGATAAAGGCTTCTTCACCTCTCTGATCCACCTCACTGTTTCTCTATATCTTCACCCTCCTTTTTTTGCTTTTATATTAGGAGAGAACTATAATTCCTTCATTCCAAAAGTAACTCTGCCCAAGTGTAGATCCCTCTCCTCATCTCTCCTCCATAAGCTTACACCAAAAATTATGCTTTCTCTATTTAATTTCTCCCTCACTGTTGTTGTTTGGTGCCATCGAGTTAATATAGACTCATAGAGACCCCATGTGACAGAGTAGAACTGCCCCAAAAGCTTTATTTGGTTATAATCTTTACAGAAGCAGATCAACAGGTCTTTCTCCCATGGAGCTGCTGGATGGGTTTGAACTGCCAACCTTTCAGTTAGCAGCAGAGCACGTAACCATTGCACCACCAGGGCTCCTTTCTCCTTCACTACTGCCATCTATTCCTAAACTGACAATTTACTCAAATCTCCCCTTTTCTGAAGAGTTCTCATACAATCTTGCTTATCGTTAGAGCCAATCTCCAACTCTCTGGAATTTTACCTCAGAACTTCTTGGATAAAAGGTGGTCAGATTACCGATTTCACTTCCTAGAGACCCTTTCACCTCTCAACCCTTGTATCTGGCTCCCCAATCTGCCTATGTGCTTTTGCCTCTCCTGAATCTTTCCTCCCTTCCAGAATGCTGTTCTCTCACACCACTGCCTGGCAGCCTACTACGCAGTTGCCAGGTTCCAGATGCTTGACCCTCAAGTAAAGCCTAACCTTGCACCAATCCATGGAACCAACCCTCATCCAAGCAGAAGAGATTTAAGAGTAACTTACTCCAACCTCTGAGTTGCAGCATTAGCTAAGAAATGCTGCTGGCTGCTCGGGGTATAAGTAAGTGTCTGTTGTAAGAGCCATCTTGATCGTCCTGTGTGAGTCCCCTTTATTGAGCACTTACTATGTACCAGGCTCTTTACCAGGCATCTCATACACATGATCTCATTTAATCTTCACGGTGCCCCTATGCTGGTAAACATTGCACTATGTATCTATAGACCCACGTTGCAGAGGGTTTAAGAAACTTGTACAAGGTCACAGGATCAATAGGTAGTAGAACAGATTCATAGCAGACATTCTGACTCCAGAGCCTATGCTCAGTAAATAGTCACAACTTTTAATAGAAGAGGGAATGGGGGATGCGTGAGTGTGTGAATGTGTGCTTACATGCATGTGCAAGTGTGATAGGAGTGGGGGACCCTTCAACCTGATGCTAAAATTTCTGGTCCTGATTAGCTGCTGCCTGACAGCAGGAGCTATTATTATCACTCGCTCCTGTGCCCCTGTCACTGGGCCTGTGGGGACTTGCCCTTCCTTCCTGCTCTCGGGCCCTCTAATGTTGACAGCTGTGCTGGAAAATCACATGCTGACTGCTGCCACGCTCACCAAACACATGTTGTACGTGCTGGTCTGGACTTCCTGCCTGACCCCTGTTCTGCCTTTTACCTGCCCCTAAGCAGAGGGTTGGTCTACTTCCCGGTCTGGGCGTCTCTCAGTCTGTCTCACTCTCACTTGGCAGCTATCTGAGCCCTTCTCTTTGCCACATTGCTCCATAGAGTCCCTTCCTCATTCTCCCTGACAGAATTTATCCTTTGCATTTTTCACTACATTCCTTTAACTCTTCTTCGCTTATGCTGTCTTTCTGGCTCTTTCCTTAACCAGTGTTGGATTAAGTTAATGCCACACCTGTCTTCTTAACCTCTTATTTGTTTGTGTTAAATATTTGTTGTTTTGAATTGAATAATTAGAACACACTCTTTCAGAATAAGGATGATATGAAAAGACTCAAATTAGTAAGTTTGTTGGGGACAGCAAGTCCCTGGAAGGAGAACTCTATCAAGAGAATAAAAACAATGGTAATCAGAACAACAACGGCCAATGACCAACATTTCTAAAGTGCTTTGCAATTAGCAAATACCAGATTCATCAGATCCTAACGGTCCTGTAAGATGAGTTCTGTGACTTGCCAAAAGCCACACTGCGAGTGTAATGGGGAGCCAGGACCCAACTCCTTGGCTTCTCACTCCAAAGCCATCCTCTTTCAAAACTGTTCTTTAAAGAAAAAACATTCAGTCTCATTAGTCAGTTCACCATGGTCTTCTGGGTCATTTGAAAACCTCGAGCAAAAATTCCCTACATCAAGATTGTGTATTCTCCAAGAGAAAGCATCTTCAGCAGAAACCAAAAACAGTAAAAGGCAAGGACCAATGACTTCTGGCTTCTCGTTAGTGGTAATGAGTCTTAGTTCCTTTTCCCTTACTCCATGTGAAATGTTATAGTACCCTA